GACATCGACGCCACATACAGTTCCGATGTGAAGGAAATTCCAAAAGTACACATCGACAAGATATTCTGGAGAGTGCCTCACGTTTTATTAGATATTCCACAACAATTGCTGTTCACTAAAATGGTAGAGAAAAATCAAGAAATATTTCTAGCATTCCGAAATTGGGAACTCATAGAATACCCCAAATTGCCTACATCCACAAAAACGACATGGCCTGTCAAAACGACAAATCAGTTGGAAACACCACGTCACATCATCGTTGTCTTCCAAACAGACAGAAAAAATAATATAAAATCAGATTCAAGTAAATTCGATGATTGCGACTTGACAAATATTCGAGTTTTCTTGAATAGTGACAGATACCCATATAATGACTTATATCTGAATTTCACTACTAATAAAACTTCCCAATTATATTCCATGTTCGCAAATTTCAGACCATCGTATTATGGATCTAGTAAGGAACCTATATTTTCACCGAAGGAGTTTGTAGAGAACATCCCTATGGCATACATCGACTGTTCCCATCAGAAAGAATCTTTGCAAAGTGGATCAGTTGTGATGAGAATAGAGTTTGAAACAGCCAAAGCAATTCCAGACAACACTTCAGCATTCTGTTTAATTTTACATGATAAAATGTTCAGCTACAGCCCTTTGACAAAAATTGTCAAGCAATTGTAAAATAAATTCTTCATCCCCCCACTATACTCTTTCATTTTAAAGATAACATTCAAGTAGTTGATAATTTCAGTTGTGTATCATCATCCACGCAATGAAGTTATTAAGTATAGATATCCAAGGGTTCTCGTTATCCAATACGTTTTACCCCAAAGAACTATCAATTTCGAATGGCTATCAGATCAACAACTATTTATTCAAAGCAGCCGTTCCATTTTGTGCACTTCAGGAAGCAGACAAAAAACAAGTTCGTTGGCTAGAACGAAATTTCCATGGGCTAACATACTCTTCTGGGTTGATAGACTATGATGAATTACCGAATATACTATCAGAACATCTCAAAGATGTTGACTTAGTTTATGTAAGAGGACACCAAAAACTCGAATTTCTAAATTCGGTGCTAACGTCATCTCACAGACCCAAAATAGTCAATATCGAAATTTTTGACAATGTCATGGATACTGTCAAATTCAAGGATGATAGTCCTCTATGCATGCACCATAATTCCAGTGACAACAATATGTGCAGTTTTCGAAATTGCAGGGATTTACATAATTGGATAAGTAGTCTCCTACCCCAATGACCTTTTCATTTGTTTGCTGGCCGCTCAGATGTGCATCAACGACTTATTGAATCAACATATCAGAAACCTGAAGGAACTCAAAATGACTATCGACATTTTTGAGATGAGGAAGAATTTCAACAGCATCAAGATAAGCTCAAGAGAAGAAGAAAAATGGAACCAACAGGTTTTTTCCAATCCGAGACGATTCCAAAAAAACAAAATTACCACAACCAAACGAGTTACTTTGAAATGTCCTACTTTTAGTTAATACAATTATCAAATAATACTCTTTGTTTGATTCACTGATCCCTCCCTTAGGTTATATCCAAAATGTACAGTACCCTGAGTACTGCGTTCAATATAGCGGGTCTCAGAATATTTGATACTGTGACAAGCAGCTCATTTCTGAGATGCTTCACCACCTGATTCTGAGATCGCAAGAATTTCCATATTGAAACCATATGTCCATAAAACATATAGAGCGATTCTAGTATCAAGAAACCATAAGGCTGTTCTGAGATCATTGATTGATGTTTGAATCGACCTAGGATCAAATAATACATAGGTCGATTCTAGTATCATTGATCTTTGAATCGACCTAGGATCAAATAACACATAGGTCGATTCTAGTATCATTGATCTCTGAATCGACCTATATGTTATTTGATCCTAGGTCGATTCTAGTATCCAAAAACCATAAGATCATTGATGTTTGAATCGACCTACGATCAAATGGAACATGAGGCTGTTCGATAGATCATTGATACTAGAATAGACCTAGTATCAAATAACACATAGGTCGATTCTAGTATCTTGATATTAGAATAGACCTTACATATCTACTTGAAAGAACACCAGTTCCGGAGAAAAACATGAAATCCATGTGCCAAAAATATATTGTTATATGATATTGACACCTGAATGGAAGCATTTCATGAAAAATACCTGGGAAATAAATAAAAAATAATTTTGGCCCTAACTGGGTTGAATGATATCAATATAGATGGAGAATCAATAATTTCTACTGCAGTGATATATATTTTTATATATTATGAATTTATAGGTCCACGAAAGCAAGTTGCGCCATAAATACACATGCAATATTTCATGCACAACCCTCAAAATTCTTAAAATCTCATTGACTGTCAATATGTGATTTATCAATGGTTTCAAATTCCTCCGCTAATTAATGGATGCCATTGCCAAAAGAAGATCAAATGAGAGTTTACTAAGAACTACTTGGAAAAAGTGAAATTATTCTGTAGTAGTCCATACTCAAAGTGGAGTGAAATGATCAAGAGAGAAAAACTCAAAGTCGTCTCCAAAAATTTTGATGTCTAAGAAGGCAGTCAATCCTGCTTCAATAAGGTTGAAAGTTGATACATGTTTCGGCCATCCAAATGGCCATCTTCAGTCAAATTAGCAAAGTGTATCTACAATAGAAACCAATTATGATTTTATATAAAGAAGAAATTGAAATGGAGAAGACAACAGTTGTAAATTTGAAATTGAATGGATTAACAAATTCCAGTAGAATAAAAGAGCAACAGTGATTTTTATAAGTGTTACCATAATAATTGATCAGTTATTGATGGTAAGAAGTGAAAAAACTAAATTTTCATCAATTCAAAAATTCTGACAACAAAGTTCTCTCTTGAAAGTGAAATTACTTTACTGCCCGTTCACCGACTACCTATATGTTACAGTGGTCCATAAGAGCTCATTTCACGCCTTTATACATGAATGACTATATTCATACTTGGTTATGTCTGCTTACCAGAGTTCAGCATTGGAATATGGACCCTTATCCTATAAGTTGCGACTTGATGCATACAATATTTCATGCACAACCGTCTCAAAATTTCATTGACTGTCAATATGTGATTCAACAATGGTTTCAAATTCCTTCTGCCTAATAATGGATGCCATTGCCAAAAAGAGATCAAATGAGAGTTCACTAGGAATAACTTGAAAAAAATTGAATCACTTGCCGTTTACCGACTATCTATATGTTACAGTGGTCTATGAGAGCTCATTTAACGCCTTCGTGTATAAATGACTATATTCATACTTGGTTATATCTGTGATATTATTAGTTTGGACTTCACTTCTCATCTTTTGGTCACCCCGTATTGATAAGTGCTGATCGCGTTACCTTCATTCATTCATTGTCAATGTCTGTCTTTCTTGTTAATAAAAACCTAATATCTGGGTCTATTCATTCTTAACTTTACAACAATTTTATCAACAAGAAAAGTTTGTTGATGGAAAAGTATTTGAAGCCTGAGAAGTTCAACACAAGTCCGGATTCTCCTAGTGCTGGCAAGGAATTCACTCACTGGTTGGAGACATTTGAGAACTTTGTTGATGTCTCTACTGAACAATTATTCGACGCCGATCGACTTAAGGTACTTGCGAATTTCCTCTCATACTCCGTTCATGAATATACAGCGGGATGTACAACATATAAAGACGCTATTAAAACATTGAAAGACGTGTATGTGAAACCGAAGAGTGAGATATTTGACAGGCACTTATTTGCTGTACGCAAACAACAACAGAGAGAAAGTGTGCAACAATATGTTCAAGCTTTGAAACTTTTATCCAGGGATTGTGACTTCAAGGCTGTTTCTGCGGAAGATCACAAAAACCAGTACATCCGAGACTCTTTTGTGAATGGGTTGATTTCTCCACAAATTCGCCAACGTATACTCGAAGAAAGAGAAACCAAGGGACTGGAAGAAGTCATCCAAGTGGCAGGAGCCCTTGAACTAGCTCAAAAACGGTCAGATGAATATGCTCGTGGTACTAGTGAGCTCGCCTGCGCAAGCACTGCCCGAAGTGCCTCAGTCGATGGCGCAGATACCTCAGGGCGTTTTGATAAGGTATGTGCTGGTACAGCGAACAGCAAACAGCAAATGCTTCTTCTGTGGATTTGATCGCCATCCACGGTCGTCCTGTCCAGCACTAGAGGCAAAATGTGGCTTCTGCAAGATAGTGGCGAGCTCACGAGCCAATGGTAGTTTTCGGCCTACGGTTCAACAGCAAAGAATTGGAAGAACACAGGAGAATATAAACATATTGAAGGTGTCACCACCTTCTGCATTTTGTTATTACATCATTGAAGATGATCGCAAAGATTTGCAAACAGGGGTTTTGACAAGGGACGGCAGTCAATTTGTCTGGAGAGCTGGGACATGGGTAGATTTCTAGGCTATTAAGCAGTCTTCTTCATTTTTGGAATGGGCGTCACTTAAATTTGATGTATATAAAATTAAGAAATTAGAACAGTGTGAAGTTTGGTCAAAATATAATTTATTCACTCATTATAGTTCTCAAACGTATGTGATAATTTTCATACTTTTCAAAGATGGTAAATTCCAATAGGGGGATGATTTTATATGTCCTTGCATAGGCATCAACTAAATCAAATGCTTAGTGAGACACAATGGTAACCGCGTGCAGCTGCATAGGGTTGACAAGTACCATTGTGTATTACAACTCTGTTGTGAATTATATACCTTGAGCTACCTAAACCTTATATAAAGCCTTCAAAAGGACTAACTTTGACCAGAGATTAAAATTATATGTGTGATCATAATCTTACTTCACACCTAAATGAAAATGATAATGGTTATAATAAATTCTGTGACAGGCAAGAATATTGGTGAAATCAAATCACATAACCCCAAATAAACGTTTGAATTGGATCGAGCTCACCGGGACTTGGATCATTGACACCCAGAATCACCTCCAGGAACCTCCTACATCAAAACACCCTGGATGGTGTCACCAGGACAGGGCAACTTCAACATCCTCAGGGGACGCCTGGAACTTGTATCAGGGACACCTTCACTGGGACAATGTTTCACCCCAAAGGGAGAATCTAACTCGAGGAGCCTCTCGGAATCAAGGAACACCTCGGAGCTGATGAGAAATTCCGAGACCAGGCCGAAAGTCAGCAGGTGGTCCGTGGTAGAGCAGTCGAAAATAGGCAGGCAGAATCCAGTTTCCAAGCAGTGGTCAATCTTACGGCAGCGGGTTGTCTTTCCTGACATCCCTATACCATGTTCAGGGAACAATTCGTAGCGAGTTTCTCGAATTACTGCTACTAGGGCAACTCGTGGATCTCGTGGAAGCCGGCAGATCTTTAATATAAAACGACCCTGTTGTAAGCCAAAAATATGATACCAGTGGTTCAAAACTCACCTTCCACGGGGGATCGGCTTCGCACGACGAAACAAACACTGGGCGATGATTTATCACCTCGCAAGGCAAAACCCAAAAAGACCTTTTCTTTCCCATCATGGCCTCGCTCACGCCAACACGGAAAAGGACAATCCCTTCCAGAAAGATGCTATTCTTCAAAAAAACAAGAACGGAGCATAGGGAAACCTATTAAAAAAAAACAGTCAACGCCAACTATGCCTTCTGCGCAACAACGCCGCTCATGCGTGAGCACGAGTTGAGTTCTAAACCAATCACAGGCTATGGAATCTTTCTACCTCTAGCCAATGAGAAAATTGGATTTACCCCACGTGGTTTGGTGACACTTGACATATGACACACGACTTTTTAATGACATGACTTTCCACTTAGTATTCACTTCGACCTGACTTCACGACCGATTCATAAGTGCAAACGAACAACCCTAAAATGAAGGAAGAAACAAATCTGACGTGACTTGCGACCTATGACATTGACATGAAACAATTTGATATTTGACTTTGGACAAATTGTAATTTTTCATATTGACAGCCAATGAAACTAAATAAACAAATTCGAAATTGAAACTAATTTTCCAAAGAATCAAATTCAAAGAAAATTAAAAAATGCCACAGCTCGTGTACGACTCAATTGGTAAGTAAAATTCTTCTTGAAGCTCAAATGCTTTATCAGTGATTTCACCCAATCAATATGTTTTTGTTTTCAGATTGTTCCTGGAGTTCAAGGATTGTTCAGAGCTGAGTAACTCAGACATCAGCTTAAAGGGTACATGGACTGCGTTGAGGTAAGCTATAACCATGAATTGGTGTAAAAACCTAAACGTTTACTTCAATTTCAAACATCAATGTTCCCAAAAACATAAGCAGTGAGCCAACCGACCCAACAGGCACAAGAACAGGATGAAACACCCAAAATTGTCATGTAATGTTATTCACTTCTTGTAAGTTCCTGTAATAAAATGTGAACTAAATGCTTAGCTGTTTACTTTGGATGATACTTGACTCAAGTCTGAGCACAAAAAGAGGAAACTGTACCATTCTGATAATTGAGTTTGGATAAAGGTAAATTTTCATGTTGCACCTTTTGTTGGCATGTTAAGGTGAATAAATCTGTTAACAGTTATTTTGGCTTATATTTATATCTTGGATTTTTGTCTCAGTAATTCAGCTGTGAAAACTGAGTGGCGCCTGACAAAAGGATAACCCCAGTAGTAAACAATAAAAAGAACTAACTCACAACCTTCAAAAGAGTTGTAATAACAAAAATATATATCTTTGTACACTGAGTTACGAAAACAAAGCAAAAATGAATTTGGCAAACATTTTTATAAACTCATGGTTAATTCTGTCTTTGGTAAAACTATGGAGAACGTGAGAAAGTACAAAGATTCAAAACTAGTTTCAAAATGGGGTGGTAGATACGGGGCAAAATACTATATTTCTCAACCAAATTCTCACAGTTGCAGTATTTTCGATGTTGATATGGTCATCATTGAAATGAAAAGATTGAGAGTGAAATTCAATAAACCTATCTATGTCGGATTCAGAATTTTAGATATTTCTGAAACTTTCTCATATGATTTTCAGTACTCTTACATAAAAAACAAATTTGGATCAGATGCAAAATTACTCTATACCGATACCGACTCTCTACTTAATCAAATTTTCACTGAAGATATTTATGAACATATAGAAGCGGATATAATTAGGTATGACACGTCTGATTATCCACCAGACAACATTTATGGTATTCCTCTGAAGAACAAAAAGGTCTTGGGAATAATGAAAGATGAGAACTCTGGGGGAATAATTACTGAATTTATTGGATTACGCTCGGAATTATACACATTCAAAATTTCACGAAATCAAAACAAACTAATAGACTCTGGTGTAATCAGAAAAGCGAAAGGAATTCGAAAGTCAGCCTTGCGAACAATCACTTTCGATGACTATCGCAATTGTCTGTTGAATAATACTTCAACCCAAATATGTCAATATAATATGATAAGATCTAATAAGCATGAAGTACACACAATAGAACAGAAAAAAACAGCCGTATGATGATAAGAGAGTGATCAACTGTCTTCATACGGATACATTACCTTGGGGGTATATTTAGTTCATATAAAATATATTTTTAATATTTATATTTATATTCAAAAACTCTCTACCTTCGTTTAAAATTATAGGATGAATATATGAGAAACAAAGATGAGTCAAAGAAATCTGATACAAGAGAACTACATCAGTAGCTCTGACGATAGAGAGGGGACACCAGATATCAACGGTCCTTCGAGATACAATTCAGAAGCTACACGTCCTACAGCCAGTGCTACACGTGTCATAGAGCTCAGGACATTGACGGATATCGGGTTCGAAAGCGTGAACAGATCAGAATAAAAAATAGACTGGGACATTAAGCTGTCGAACAATGAATCAATGTTACTACTGCAACTTCTAGTTCTCACTGAAATATCAACTGGAAAGTTGTACTCTGAATATCAACCACAAAATGGGAGTTTATATATACACATAACCTACAACAATCTCTTGACAAAATATCCTGGAATTAAATTGTATTCTGAGCATATGGATACTAGTGGATTGAATGGTCTCAACAATAGAACAATAGCAATGTCTAAAACTGCTGAAAATGGATGGAATAGAACAAAGGAAGAATTATTCAAGTGCAACTCTGAGATTCATGATTGTACGCAAGAATTGAAGGTTCACATGAATCATGGTAACACTGAATTACTCAAAATCAGATCAGATTTGGCAGCATGTATGACAGTGAGTTCAGAATTCAAAATAGAGGCAGATTTATGGGCTTCAAAGTATGCAGATTTGAAATTTTCTAAAGAAAATCGTCCAACTACAAACCACAACAACAACAACAACACATTGGAAAATTCGGCATATCTCATTCTAGAATGGAATTATTCTAGTTGTCTTCAAGAACTAAACAGGTATATGAGAAAACATTATTTTCAATTAAATAAAATTCATGACAGATATCATTTTATTTTATTATTCTTTTCTCCTTCTCCTAGATTGAAGAAACTCAAACAAGAACTCGACAACGGAGAGAGCCAGGCTAATCCATCAAGAGAATCCACACCCGATATGAAATATTGAAATGAAATAACTGTGTTCAGTAGTGAATAAAAGATATATGTAACCATCTGTTTGAGTTTTTTATTTCATCGAGGTTATTCAACAAAGGTATCAATATACTATAATAAAATCTAGCTTCTTGTTTTTAAACTCTTCGTTTATCACCCAAAGTTTTATACGATTACAATTATTACAGTATTCCATTTTCCTCTTCTTAATATGCTGCTGCCAATTGAGTGAATGATCAAAGAAGATGCATTTTATTTCCCAACAACCCATGCACGTATAGAAAAAATTCAACATTCACTATCTTCAAGAGTCTTTGGTGATTCATTATTGAAAACTTCAACCCTTTCAATCCTGCTTATAACTTCAAAACTTTTTATATGTTCTCCTCTCTTGGTCAATAGTGGTTTGGGGATAGCAGCTAGTTCAATTCTTCTGCAAGTTGATGATACAGCAAATTTTTTAAATCTATTTTTATCAATGAAAACTTGTGTCCACGTCATACATGCCGGTTTAATGATAAATGAAGCAATCAATTCCAATAGCGAGAAACTCGATGGATTATCTTAAACACTTATCTCTGTTATATCAACATAATCAGCATGATTTTCTCATGGTTGCAGACTGACAATCTAGAATTTTTAATATTAGGTTGTAGGGTGATTTTTCCAAGAAATGGAACATACATAACCGAGGGGGAGATCAGATAAACAGGTGAAACAGGTACAATGAAAGAAACAGGTGATACAGGTGAAAGAGGTAATACAGGGGGACACGTTGAGAAAGTGAAACCAGTAAATTAGGCAAAACAGGTGATTTGAGCAAAAAAACAATTGATTAAGTAGGTGACACAGGGAAGACAGGTAGAAAAACAGGTGACAAGGTAAATCTTTGGTGACAACACCTCCTGGTCATTGTCGACACTTCTGCACCTCGGAAAGTCTGCACAAACCACAACTAGACCCCCAATTGTCTTCGACAGCTTGAGAACTTGATGGACAGCTCACCAAACTGTCGCAGGACCGCCCCTGACACACTACTGACGTTTAATTTTCTTTGCAGTTCGAAAGGAACAATTCGAATAGATCTCGTATCTCTGTCAAGTCATCATTATTTTGCCTATCAGGTCTAGTATTCCTATTGCCAAATTCCAAATTTCTTAAAAAATACATTTTCCACGAAAACCCGGGTGCATTTCTTCGAAAGTTGTATATCAAATCTCAAATTTCTTAGCAGAAACCGAAAACGTTGTCGTGACATCGTCAGCCGAAACATTTCAATAGATGTGGTGTTGGTTTCCCACAAATCTTCTGCATTCAAATGATTGGTTTTACGCACTGCGAAAAGGTATAAGAGTCCTAGCAATGCTTTGATTTCGATTATATCTGTAGGACACCCTGTTCGGTATTCACGAGAATACTGTTGCTGAGACTTATATAGGTTGGTGTATTCAACAAACACAATTATCATTTCATCTGTGTCATGACTAAATATCCAGAATACTTGAAGAAGTGCGTACTGGTCCATTTACGCCTGGCAAGTGAATTATCATATTTTTTGCTCAAGTTTCAACCCTCTGATTTGACGGTAAATGTTTTCTCTATTTCGTCAGGTTATCTTCACCAGTGAACAAAGGATCCTCATACTCCGCGTTCTGGTTGGGAATAATATGG